CCCCTCCCCATTTTCCTCCTGCCTCCCATTCTTTTCCCCCTAATTTGATGATGATGATGGAATCATATAATAGTACAGCAGGAAGGGGCCAGAGGACCACCCTGCTGAGTGCAGGGCTCCCAGTTACACCCACCCCTCTCAGAGGGCTGTCCAGCTGCATCTTGAATGCCTCCAGGGTGGGAGAGCCCACCACCTCCCCAGGTCAGGGTTTCCATGGTCTTACTGTGCTAACAGTCCCTGTAACTTGAGCCTGTTATTCCGTGTCCTGCACTCTGGCGTGACTGAGAAGGGATCCTGGCCTTCCTCTTTGTGGCAGCCTTTCGAGTTCTTGCAGAGTGCTATCACCCCCGCCCCAGTCTTCTGTTCTTGAAGCCAGACATGTTCAGTTATTTCCGTCTCTCCTCATGGGGCTTTGTTTCCAGTCCCCAGATCATCCCTGTCGCCCTCCTCTGGACCTCCCTCATTTTTCTGCATCTTCCTTCAATCTTGGTGCCCAGAACTGAAGACAAGACTCCAGATGAGGTTTCTGAGGAAAGGGCAACTAGAATTTCATGGGGTTTGGAAGTGATCCTTCTATTAATACAGCCTAAAATTGCATCTGCCCTTTTCACAGCCACATCACATTGTTGACACCTGTTCAGCTTGTGATCTGCAACAATTCCAAGGTCCTTCACACCTGCCATATTGTTGAGCCAAGTACTTCCCACCTTAAAGACACAGTTGCTTTCTTTTTCCTACGTAGCTGCAGAACCTGGTATTTGTCTCCACTGAATTTCATTCCATTGTCTTCTGCCGAGCACTCCAAACTTGAATTTTGGTTTGGTCTTCCAAGGTATTAGCTTTCCCACCCAGTGTTGTGTCATCAGCAAATTCAATAATCATTCCCTGCACTTCCTCCTCAAAACCGTTATAAAAATGTTGAAGAGCACTGGGCCCAGGACTGACCCCCGCGGCGCCCCACTTGAGGAGACGCCATTGATAGGCACTCTTTGTGTCCCTTTCTATAGCCAATGATGGATTTACCTGATAGTTGTTCCCTCTAGCCCACTTTTACCTTATTTGCTAAACTCTAATATTAATTAATTAATTAATTTGCTAAACTCATATACATACACACACACACACACACACATATATATATACTTGCATTTCCCTGCTGTTCTCCTACTCCTAATGGAGTCTCTGTGTGGCTTACAATATTTAATGATTAATTTAATAATATAAAACAGAATTTAAAAAGTAACTATGAAAACATCCTACATTGTCTTTGTAGTTCATAAACCATTGCTTAGACAACTATTTTCTAAACTTTCATTCAAATCCGTACTTGATCTTAACTTCGACAATGATTCCATGTTAAGCAGAAGAGAAACGAATTGTGGTTGCAATCTCCTGTAAGGAGCCATCTTAATATTTTTGTGCCTCAAATGGCACGAATGTGGAAAGTAGGGATGTGCGAGGAACCAGTTTGGGGTGGGAATCTGCTGGCTCCCCTGGAATCGACACCCCACACAGTGCTCCACTTTGCGGTGCCCGGAGTCTGAGTTGCTGCGGAGCGGGCCTGGAATTCCCGGGATGCTCCCTGGGAGTAGAGCCCCACGCGTGATGCAAGCCAGGCCCCCTTCCCCCATGCTTTGCCACCCCCAGGAGCAGCAGCGAGTGTGGAAGAGGCTTTCCTGCCACAAACTGTGCCTGATGGTGCCTCCTGGCGACTCTTTTCTGCACCACCCACCTTCCCTGTGTGGAAGAGGAATGCTGACCTCCCACAGAGGCTGGTTACCAGGGTGCCTGAGCTGATAGCCATGAGATGCATGTGGAAGCTTAACAGAAAATGTGGGGTCAGTAAGTCATACTTCTGCTTTCCTCTGCACCATTTCCTTGTCCTGATATGCTGCAGAGCTGCCCGCTTCTGCTCTGGGCACTGCCAGGAAACCCAGGCAGAGCAAGTATGCATAAGAAAGGGACAGAATTGGAAAATGAACATTTTTGGGAATTGCTAGGCTACAGAGCGGGGCCAGAGCGGATATCAGAGTGTCTCTGGTTTCCCTTGCCCTGGGTCACCGAGCGCCATCTTGGACTGATCCTCGCCTGTCTCATCTTTCTTTGTGCAGCATCTACTGTAAAAAATAAACAGCAATGTAAGGACAAAGGAGGCCTCTGCGTTTTGCCAATTGGGCCAATTTGTCATTTCCCTCTGCGCATTATCTATGGAATGCGCTCCCCAGAGAGGTCCGCCTGGCGCCGTCGTTATTTGTTTTTCGGCGCCAGGCGAAGACCTTTTTATTTAAGCGGCATTTTAATTGTTAATATTATTTGCTTATTTTATCTGGCCAGGGCGACTTATTTTATATTGTTATTTTTTGTATTTTAACTTTATGTTGTGAGCCGCCCCGAGGCGTCAGTGAATGGGGCGGCATAGAAATGTTTTAATAAATAAATGAATAAAATAAATTATCAGAAGAGGCAGTTCTTGGGCGCGTCGCTGCAAGGCGTGAGACAGGTATGCAGAGCATTTCTCCATCCATCCATCCATCTGCACATGGAGTCTTTCCACTTCCCTGCACAGCTGTGTGCGTGGCTTCCAGATGTCTATGCCCGATGCTGGATAGGGTTTACTAATACGTGGGCAGATGGGTCCCATTTGAGAATGATCTGTTTCTCCTTTTCCCATACTAAGGATGTTCTTTCACACCAGATTCTTTTTAGCTTGAGGAAAGACTTGTCCACCAAGCCTGAAGAAGGGCATACGGCAGATACGCTGCACTAGGGCAGATGCCTTTCACCCCCCCCCCCCCCGTACTGCTCTGCCATGGCTCCTTTATTCATGCTCTTAATATCTTTGAAAGATTGCATTCATTTCCTAATTTATTCATTCTGGTTTTATACCATCCAATAGCTGAAGCTTTCTCAGTGGATCACATTTTTAATGGGCATGTTTAAGTGCTTCTCCATGCTCATGGAGGCAGAAAGTGAGCTCGGCACTGGGAAATAGCCATATTCACAATGCAGAGAATCAGCAAAGACCCCTTCTCCCCCTTTGCAGAGTACTTGGTTGTAGAAATGGATCTACACACATCCCCTGGATCAGAAAGACAACCCTTGTCTTTGGACTCACCCTCAATCTTGCATTCACACCCTGTGGGCTCTAAATCTCTCATGCTTCCAAGAATTGTAGAATCATAGAATAGTAGAGTTGGAAGAGACCTTCAAGGCCATCAGGTCCAACCCCCTGCTGTTGCAGGACACCAATTACACCATCCCACTCAGATGACTGTCCAGTTTCTTTTTGAATGTCTCTAATGTGACTTCCAGCAAAATGGTTTTTTCAACATTTAATAAAAGTAGAAACACAGAAACAGAGCAAGTCAGAAGGGGTCTCCCTGGCCATCTAGTCTGACCCCCGGCTCCAGCCGGCTCCTCTCATGACGTGCCCACCATGTGCATGTCCAGCCTATCCTTGAAGACCAGCACCGATGGAGCCCCAACCACCTCCCGTGGAAGCCCATTCCACACCCTCGGGGTCCTGACTGTCAGGAAGTGCTTCCTGGCATCCAAATTGAACCTTGGTTCCCTGAGCTTTGCTCTGTTAAAGCGCATTGAATTTGTGGAGCTAACAAAGCTGTAGATATCTGAGAGCTGAGTGGTACTCAAAGAGAGACATTAAATAAACCCCATAAAAGTAATCTGTAAACGGGAGAAACAGACTCATGGGCACACCTATCACACAGGTACTATCACCGGGCAGCTATATTTGGCAACAGTTGCTTGACGACCATCCTCTTAATGGCACAATTATTCTGTTATTTTCTCTAGGGTCAGCATTCCCTCAGAGTTCACCTGCTGTGAGGCAGAATTGTTTATGATTGTCCATTGAAGTGCACAACATCTTCCCTTTGGGCAGGATGGAGAACAAGGTAAGCCTGTTTGTGTTGAAACCAGCAATAGTGCTGAGTGCTTTGCCAATGAGTTTGGAAAGCTGCAGAAGGTGGTAACTTTGCTGCATGTCCTGAATTCCAGGTGACTGAGAGCAGTAGGACAAGGAGCAGATAAGGTTTTCTGAAGCCGCTTCTATGATTATCTCTTACCCTCCTCACAGTATTCTTGTTTCACTCCCCTAAAATATCCAGGCACTGAAAAGTGTGGCAAAGGGTACTGAGGAGAGAGGTCTCCCAATTTTCATGATGTCTCTGTTCTTCTGGTAGTGTCCATGGTGTTTACCTGTGAGTCCCCTGGACTGCAAGGCGATCAAACCGGTCAGTCCTAGAGGAGATCAACCCTGGCTGCTCCTTGGAAGGCCAGATCCTGAAGATGAAGCCCAAATACTTTGGCCACCTGATGAGAAGGAAGGACTCCCTGGAGAAGAGCCTAATGCTGGGAACAATTGACGGCAAAAAGAGAAGGGGACGGCAGAGGATGAGGTGGCTGGATGGAGTCACTGAAGCAGTTGGTGTGAGCTTAAGTGGACTCCACGGGATGGTGGAGGACAGGAAGGCCTGGAGGAATGTTGTCCATGGGGTCGCGATGGGTCGGATGCAACTTTCCGACTAGCAACAACAACTCTGTTTTCACCTACACAGCTGGGCAAGAAATACCTTCTACCTCCCTTCTAGGAACCAGGAATAGAAGCTCCCTTTAGGATGTTCCAGGAAGGAAGTTCCACAAGACTGAATGGAGCAGAGGAGTGATTGCGTTGGAAGTGCAGCTTGAAGGTCCCTCCTTGCCCTCCAAAGCCTTTTGGGTATCACATGAGTGTAGACCTCACTTCTGATTTTGATCCATTTGCCAAACACAGAACAATTCCTCTGATCTGTTTTAGGAGTCCCTCTTATGAAAGATGTTTGGGTTTTTTTCTGTTCATTGTTAGAAGGTCATTCTTTCCCCATAAAACAAATTAACACTGCAGGCTGGATGAAGCTCCTTGAGGTTCCTTCCTCCAGAAGCATGATAATAAAATATTCTGCTCCTGATATAAACCTGTAGATATTTGCAAACTAAATCACTCCTTAGCAGCTTCTCTAGATGAAGAATGTAAGCTGGTGCTTTGCAGAGGCTGTTTCTTCCATTTGATTTCCTGGGAGCAAAAGCACCTCATTCACCTATGTTTCCTGTAATTTTTTTCAGTTTTTCTATTTCCCCTTTTCTGCCTTATTATATGTTCTATTACACAACCACAAGGTGGTGCTTTGTATAGCACCATTGTGGAAATATCTGTTGCTTGTTTTGTGCAGTCTAGCACGATAGTTCATTATTCCACATGGGGAAATGCTGCAAAAGAGCTTACGAATCTAGCTTCCCTTACTGAGGGATCATGACCACACAATAAATCCCTTGCACTGAAAGCACTAGATTTGTACTCCTTTTCTTTTATAGGCTGAGCTCTCTCAGGGTTGGAGGCAGGGCTGAAGCTGGTAATGTTGCATGCAGTTCCTCTGTATGGATTTTAAAGGGAACTTAAAAAGCCCCTAAATAAATAAATAAACTTTGCATGGCAAGATGGGCTTCTTGTGAAGCCTGTGACTCAACATCACACATCTGTACAGCAAGCCTATACTCCAATCCAAATGCATTTCTGCAAACTGCAACAGCAGGGGGTTGGACGCGATGGCCTTCATGACCGCTTCCAACTCTGCTATGCTATGATTCTATGAACTGTAACACTTCCTCTCAAAATTTATACCACCCATTTTCTTCCAACCTCAACCTGCAAAAAATCAACCCATTCCATCTAATGGTAGCAAATTATATAGCTTCCCTCCACGAAGTGTGAAGAAGACCTTCCTTTTATCTGTCCAGTGCCCCCATCCATCATTTTCATGAAATGGTCCTTCTGAGTTCTAGCAATATGATAATTATCTGTTGGCGACATACAGGTATGTGAGGGATGTCACACGGAGGTGAGTAGAGACCTGTTCTCCCCTGCAGAGGAAGGCAGGACGTGCTCCAACGAAGCCAAGCTCAGGGAGCCAAGGTTCAATTTGGATGCCAGGAAGCACTTCCTGACGGTTAGGACCCCGAGGGCGTGGAATGGGCTTCCCCGGGAGGCGGTTGAGGCCCCATCAGTGAGGGTGTTCAAGGATAGGCTGGACATGCACATGGTGGGCATGTTGTGAGCGGAGCCGGCTGGAGCCGGGGGTCAGACTAGATGGCCTGGGAGGTCCCTCCTGACTTGCTCTGTGTCTGTGTTTCTAATTAGCTTCCTGCGGTCCTATGCAGCTAGGAGCAGGGGGGACTTTGCCAGGGGGAGAGTGACTCACCTGCACCAATACCAGTGTTGTGGGTCCTATGTGCTGTCAAACATCTCCAACTTATACGAGTTGTGGCCCTAATCATGACAGTCCCACTCAGTTCCTGCAAATTCAAGGCCATCACTTCCTTTATGGAGTCCACCCATCCCTTGTTTGGCCTTCCTTGTCTTCTACTGCTTTTCCTAGCATGACGGTCTTCTCCAGGGACTTTCGTCTTCTCATGTTGTGCCCAAAGCAGGACAGCCTCAATTTTGCTCTTTTTGCTCTCAGAGAAAACTCTTCCTGGCTTCGATCCCACTGGATTTAACTCAGTTGTTCTTCTGTCCATGCAGGCTTGCGTGTTTCTTCTCCAGCACCATCTTTTGACAGACAGACATCAATTTTCCTTGTATCAGCTTTCTAGGACTAGTAACACAGACTTTTCATACATTTATTTATTTATTAAACATTTTTATGCCTCCCCATTCGCCGAAGCCTCGGGGCGGCTTACAACAAATAAGTTAAATAACATTTTAAAATATATTCATTAAAATAAATTACAAATATACAATATAAAATGGTGGATGAAGGACTGTGTACAACCAGAAAGTAAAATAGGCATGCTAATCATAATACTTACTACTTGTTGAAGCAAAGATCTGCTTCAGTTACAGGGTGAGAGAGGAATTTTAGAGGAAGGATCCCAGAGACCGCTCCCCAGTTTTTCTTTCCCTTCCCTCTCCAATTTCAGCCCTTCCCACCAAAACACGACACTTTCCAAACTCTGATCCCCCAAACAACTCATCATCTCAGATACGGTGCCCTCCTCTCCATTCCAAAGCCAGCTTCTGAGTCCAAGGAGGGCGAGAGTGGCGGGGTGGAGATGTGACCATAACTCCACGGTCCCCGTCTTCTCCCTCTTCCCAAAACCAGACTCTAGGTTGGAGAAGGACAATGGGAATGCTTCAGTTTGCCACACGCTGCAAAAAAAACCCTGATTTAGATATTGGGTTTTTTGATGAATATCATTTTTCTCTTTATCCTCAAATTATCCCATTGCCTCCCAGTGGAAGAGAGTTGTTACATGAAGAGCTTTTCTTCCCTGGAGACCAGATGGAAGTCCGGATCATCTGCATACACATAGTGAGCTCCTTTTCAGGACGGAGATCCTGACGGAGCCAAATGGCCTTCCTGAAATAATTAATGATCCCATAATTTGGCCTGGTGGGCTGTGCAGGAAAACGGGTTCCTCATCTTTTGAGCTCCAGTGCAGATGTTTTTAGATGTAGGTAGTAAAAATGTGCAGCTGTTTTGTAATAGTAAGAGTGTCCGGACCATGGAAACGCATAGCCTGTATATAAGCCTGGACCCTCCATACAGGCCTGCTCTGCCATTGCCTTGTCTCTGCAAAATGGATTCAATTCACATGGATTCAATTCACACGGAAAGAAAACATGCTTCACAAATATTGTGTGTGTGTGTGCGTGTGCAGGGGGGAGCTTGTAGAACACAGCTCTGGCCTGACCTTGGTCCCTGGCCATCCAAGCCCTTTCTTCCCCTCCAAGCTCTAGAAATACCACCCCCCACTGTGGCATCCTCCGGAGGAAGAAGTGACCACCGTCTTCCTTTGGGCGTTGCAGAGTATTTTGACCCTTTGCTCTCCCGGATGACATGCCTGTTTTCATACCTGCATGCACGACACCTGCTTCCCTCCGGCCTTCCCTTCCGGCCTTCCCCCATCTGGTGGGGGAAACCAGTTCTGCCTTCTTTAAAGATAGGCTATGAGGGCGACCAGGGAAGCGGCCTTTGCTCCATTATTGACGCCTGTAGCATCTTGGTTCCACCACCTTCTGTCATATTGTTTCCTTTACCTGAATCTCCTCTTATCTATTATTTATTTATTTTATTTAAAGTTTTTATATGCCGTCCCCTTGCTACATAGCCTCGGGACAGTGCAAATAAATAAATGAATAAATAAAACAATTACAATTACAATTAAAACCTGGAAACACACTGTCTGCACAATTAAAATATATAAATATTTAACATTATTAAAATACTGTTTGAATAAAAAGGTCTTGGCCTGGCACCAAAAAACAAATAATGATGGCGCCAGGCGGACCTCTCTGGGGAGCGCGTTCCACAGATGGGGCGCCACCACAGAGAAGGCCCTCCTCCAGGTGCTTTGCTTCCTGATATATCTCACGGAGGGCTCCCGGAGAAGAGCCTCTGCTGCCGATCTCTTTCGACCCATTTCCTTTCTGGACCTGGTTGCTGGACACCCTAGGAGTCAAGTGCTGAAAATGTGCATGTGAGGAGAGAAAAAGTTTTAGATCTGGACACAGCCAGACAGACAGCCAGACAGAGAAGAGTTGCTTCCTCCCAGACACCAAGGCAGGCCTTTGGGCAGAGGGCCAAGGCCCCAGCAGGCACAGTGTCCCCTTCCAGCGGTGGAGGGCTGGCTTGCCACATTCGGCCATCCCGGGCGTGATCCTCCGTGGAGTCCCCAGGGCTGGGAAGGAGGCTCTGCAAGGCCATGACCTCCGAGGCCACGATCCACCAGCCTGCACCACCACCTGTGCTGAGCAGGGAGGCATGGGTTTCCCAGTCCCTGCCTCCCTGCTCCGAATCTGGGCCCACAAGCAAGCTGCAGCCCTCGTCCACATATTTCTGAGCCTGCCCTGCTGTTTGAAGATTTTTTCCTAGAAAATCTTTTCTAGATTTCTAGATTTTTCTAGAAAATGCATGAAAGACCGTCATGCGATTGGCAAATGGGCATGGAAATAGCCTACTTTTGAAAACGTGCTTAGAAAAGGCACACCTGCCAGTTGTGACCAGTGGAGAGGCAAATTCCAGTAAGGCAAGTGAGCGCAAGTCTAAGTGATGGGCAGCTGGCAGCCGGTAGGGGATACAGAAAATATTCCCACACAGCCTCTGGGTGGCCGGCTTGCCAGGGCCTCACTGTGGCCCCAGGGAATATGTGGACAGGACCGACGTGCAGAATTGTTCTCCTGCCCTCTGGCACATTCCTCTGTTCTCTGTTTCTGTCTCAGGGCTGCGGGAGCAAAACCCCATCCAGCTGAGTGAGCCATAGTGAGCCAGTTGAGTGAGGTACCTGAACCATTCCTATGGTTAAATGTCACGTACAGTTTGCACAAGCAAATTTGGCAGTGCAACAAATGTGTTGCAAGCTGCCCTGCTCTCCATGTCACTCCCCACCTCCCCAGATGGTATAAATATGCACCGATTCCCTCTTCCTTGGTACCTCTTGCTCTACAGAGACCTAGTTCCAAGCAGGCACCTCTCTTGCTCTCTCATAGACATGAAGACCTGGGGCCTCATCTTTCTTCTCCTCACCTTGACGCTCCTTCCTGACCCAGGTAAGTAGTTATTCAGTTCTAGGCACATGAACTCCCAGAAATGTCAGCATCTACAGAAATTCCTCTCCTCTCCTCTCCTCTCCTCTCCTCTCCCCATTTTCCTCCCCTTAGCCTCCCCTTCTCTCTTTTCCTTAATGTAATAACAACAATATACAAGAGAATAAAAAAGTAACTACATAATAACTCTTACATAACTGTAACAGCATTTCTAGATCATAAAAATGCTTGGATGACCATTTTATTTGAGTACAATGTAAGGATTCATTCAAAAATATGTGCTCGATCTTAACTTCCAAAAGGTTTAAACGTTAAGTAGGACTGGAATGAATTGTGGTGACAGTCCCTGGTAATATATCATCTTAATATTTCCACAGCTCAAATAGAAAGAATGTGGGAAGGAGGGGCTTGTGAATAGTCTGTCTGGTGATGGGAATCCGTTGGATTCCCTGGACTCAGCTTCCCCGATTTTGGCCTGCTTCACAGTGCCCTGTGTCCTGGCAGGTGCACCCAGCATCCACGGGGGCTCACCAGGAAGCAGGTCCCACAGCGACTCTTTCCCCCATGTGCCACTCCTGCTGCTGGTGGCAACGAGCAGGGATGGAGCTCAGTTTCCCGGAAGTGCTCCGGCTCACCTGCTTGTGGCACCTGCTTCCTGCATCCCGTGTTGGGAGTGAGAAGGATGGACGAGTGCTGGAACCCAGATGGTTCTCCGGAACTGGAGTGAGGAGCAACTTGCAGTGAGACTGGGGAGGATGGGCTAGGTCAAACTCCGAGGTGGAGGAGGCGCAGGTGATTCTCTCGCGGCCTGGCACTTTGTTCAGCCAGGCAGTTCTTGGGCATGACCAAGATGCACAGGCTACGGGAGAGGTCCCTGAGGCCGAGGAACCCTCAAATGCAGACCAGGCCCCCTGCTCTCAGCCTTGTGGCAAAGGATCAGCGGAGGTGGCTGCCCCAGTTGAATGAGCAGCCTGCAAAGAGGAGGCAGATGCCTTCAGAAAGCCCCTCCCGAGGGGATGGAGCCCAGGCATGCTCATAAGGAGAGTTCCTACAGGTAAAGACTAGATCGGGTTCAACAAACCACTCTGTGCATGCTCAGAGGTCCATGACTTGTATCTGGGAGAAAGTTTAGCAAGGAAAGCAGCCGGTGGTTCAAAGGCGAACCTCGGCTCACGACATCCTGCAGCTCTCTTGATGGGGACGCTTGCCGGCTGCAGAACCAGGCACCTGTGAGCGTTTGCGAACTTGCTCTTGGTTCGGCTCACTTTGCAGGAGAGCCAGTGTGCCAGCTCTGGAGGGACGAATCCTGGAAGGGTTCCTCCCAAAGCTGGCCAGACCAGGCCTAGAAAAATCTCTGCGGTGGCTATACCACCTCTAGTTTGCTCTGAGGTTCCGAAAAAGAGCTTCTTCTGGAACTTTTCATTCTGATTACAACCTTCCTGTCCCTGTTGTTGCAAACCCCAGAGAGGTCCGCCTGAGGTCCGCCTGGCGCCGTCGTTATTTGTTTTTCGGCGCCAGGCGAAGACCTTTTTATTTAAGCGGCATTTTAATTGTTAATATTATTGGATTTTATCTGGCCAGGGTGGCTTATTTTATATTGGTATTTTTGCATTTTTAACTTAATGTTTGTATTTTTTAATTTAATGTTATAATAATTATTATTTTTTTAACTTAACATTGTAAGCTGCCCCGAGGCTTCGGCGAATGGGGCGGCATAAAAATGTTTTAATAAATAAATAAATAAATAAATAAATAAAATTAGTCCCAAGTCTGAAACAAATGATGTAAACAGCAACAGCAATAAGCAAAGGTGGCCACACATTTATCTGCCTTGAACAGGGATGTGTGAGGACCTGAACAAGAAGCACAAATCCAGGGGATTCTGCTGAGACGGACCCCCTCCAGTCCTCTCTGTCTGCCCTGCCTTGGTGTCGGCTCTCTATTTCACAAGCTGAAATATTTGTGAAATATTGTGTTGTAAGCCGCCCCAAGGCTTCGGCAAGGGGCGGCATAGAAATGTTCTAACAACAACAACAACAACAACAGCAACAACAACAACAACAACCAGCTTCTGAATTTCTCCTTTGACGGTGTGCTGCAGTCCTTCCATTTTTAAATAAGGAAATCTGTGAAAAACATACCATTCGTCTTTTTAGTGAAAACAGGAAGTTGAGAACTATGCATGTGATTTGTGCAAATCACGTGAACGAGCAGGAGCTTCTGACCCCTGTTTGTGCAAATAGTGCGTGACGTGGGGAAATCCCCTGACATCTTTTTTAAATGCTCCAACCACTGCCTTTGAGATAGAATGCTAAATAAAAAAGGGAAGAAAGAGAGAAATGACTTGACCTACTTCCAAATATTGGCTTGAAAGTGGACAGGAAGTCTGGCAAACTCAAGCAAACCAGATTTTCTAGTTCATAGAAACATCAAAACAGAGCGAGTCGGAAGGGGTCTCCCGGGCCATCTAGTCTGACCCCCGGCTCCAGCCGGCTCCGCTCACGACATGCCCACCATGTGCATCCTGAGCCCTGAGTGCCTTTTCTGTGATAAGGTGGACAAATAAAACATAAAAATAAAATAAAATAATGGGTAGGTTTGTTTTCTGCTCTCAGCCTTTCTTTCTTTATACACAAGCGAGTGTGTTCACTGCCTCGCATCTCCGACATTCTTTTGCACAGGATCTGCCAGGTGGGTGAAAAATGAAGATGAATGCAAGGAAGACGGGGGCACCTGTCTCGCCATCGTAATCGGCGGCTGTGGACCGCTGCTTCAGATTGGCATCTGTGGCTTAGGGAGGAATTGCTGCAAAAGGTAAGCCGGATGGTTGGTGACCACACTGCCTAGCAGAAACTGCTTCGAGAACAGGCTACACAGATGCTTTCGCCTGGAGGCCAGTGAGGGCCATACACATGCATGCATGCACAAACTCACACATGCACGTGTGTACATGCATGCACACGCATGCGCGCGCGCACAGAGCGAGTAAGCGGGTGAGCTTTGAGGAGGTTTAACCTGGTCCCACACCTGCAGCACTGCAGAAGGGCAAAACCTGGAGGCAGCCGCCAAGCTAAGCAGGTGTGGAAGGGGGCGGTGCTTGGCAGGGGATGCCCTCCTGGGATTCCTGGTGCCCACCTTGATTGCCACAATCAAAGCCAGGTGGGATATTCATGAGTGCCATTTGACTCAGGCTGCCTAACCTGCTTATTTTTATTTATTAATTAATTTATTTTTCGATTTATATCCTGCCTTTTTCCTACAAAGGGCTCAAGGCAGCTTACATCTCCTCCTCCATCTTATCCCCACAACAACAACCCTGTGAGGCAGGTTGAGCTGAGAGTCTGTGACTGGCCCAAAGTCACCCAGTTGTCTCCATGGCTGAGCGGGGACTAGAACCCAGATCCTCTGAGTCCCAGTCCCACGCTCTAACCACTACACCACACTGGCTCTTTAAAATTTATTTAAAATTCTTGTCCCGGGTTAAGTAGCATTATTCATTCCACTTAAGCTGGACTTTTAAATTGCTGTGGTTCCCGGGCCCACATGTTGGTTGGGCCATCTAAGCACACAACTCTGCACATGCTTAGGGAGAAGATCAGTTTTGCACAGGCTGAGGAATTCTAGGAGTTTACAGAATTTTTCTTTTTTGTCTAAACCTGCATAGGAGAGCAACTTAAATTCTTTTATTTATTTATGTATTTATTTAAAACTTTTATATCTCGTCGAACTACTAGTGTCCCGGGATGGTTTTACAAAAAAAGCAACACATATTGTGTTAAGCGAATTCATGTCCATAAAGCTTTATTCACGCTCCAACCCCAGCTGATTCCACCCAAGTACCTCTCTTCTCACAACTCCATGGTAGTTCCAGCAGAAATTTTCCAAGCTGGAAGAGAACTGGGCTCCAGGGAGAACAGGGGTTGCTCTTTGGGATCTTTGGGATCATGGGCCATTTGGAAGTTTCAGAAACTGCTGTGGGCACTGCCACAAAACGGCTAACCTATGGATCACGATAGATCTTATTCATCTGAAAGTTTTGTTTCCTGACATTTGGACAGCACGACGTCTCTTTAACAAGGGGCTGCCTAATTTGGCTAATGGCTGGTTGTGCGATACAACGAATGCTTCTTTTAAACAGATGTTTTAGTGAAGTCCAATAGTTGTTTATTTCGGGAAAGAGGTTACTGCTTAGACACATGTTGAACTGGAATGGGCTTTCATTAAATTACATAGAAGTGCAGACTTTTAGAATTATTGCCCTGCTTGTTAATCAATGGAAGGGGAAATTAATTGTCTGTGCTCTTTTTGACAGTGCAAAAGTGAAGATTACAAAACTGGAAGGATAAATACTCACCTCCTATCATACAATGGACTTTAAAACTTACAATTTATACCTTTATATATACTGGTGTATAACCAGATGGCATTTAGAAGCCAGCTTCAAATTCACACTTAGCTTTGTATTTTATTAGCTTTTATTGAAGCCAATATTTGATTCCAAAATCCCTGCACATTTTTAACAATGAAATCAAACGCAAAAGACTGTTTTGCACAGTGTTTGTCTAAGCATTTTATAATCTCTCCTCCTCTAATATGTCTCTACTCTTCCCCGCCCTTCTATCTGCAGATAAACTGATTGAGTGACTGACATCTCTCAGCAACGAAGAAATATTAAATCCTTCTTCCGTGCCTCGTTACAATCCAAAAGTGCTTCTTTGCACACTGAAGATCTGGACAGATTCTGTGCTGGCTTGCTTCCCTAATAAAGGCACCTTGCACTCAATTTGCGTTGCCAGTGTCAATGTTTGTATGCAGGACTCTTGTTGGTTTCATGGCTGGGTGAGGAACGCCCTCTTCTATTTACAGCTGCATCCATAGACCCAGGAGATGAAGGGCGGGGAAGCAGCTAGTTTGCACTGACATGGGAAAGCTTGCAAACGAATACGATTTGCCAGAGTTGAGGGTGGAGCACACTCCCTTTAAACATTTTGTGTCTGTGTCTTCCCACGACATCCCCAGCCACAAAAAGCAGCAGCCGAAAGACCACGAGGACACACTGAAAGCAAGGAACCCAAGCAACTCCTTGTTTCATTCCCAATAGCCATGGGAACTCATTAAGAGATTTCAGGGATCATTTCCAAGTCAAAATGCTGGCCAGAGTATTGCTTTTTAGCAAAAACTCCAAATCAAAACACTTGGTAGGAGATACATTTCAGAAAAGAATTCTGATAATTTCCAAAACGGCAGTGTCTAGGAATCATCTTCCACCACGCAAAGAAATGGGAACACAGGTTGATTTCTGAACGCCTAAGTTATGAACAACCTCTGCTTGTGAATGAACTGCCATAAAGTCTATTAATTAAAAATATTACTGTGGGAAATTGTCATCATCACAGAGAGAGAGGAGGCAGAAAGGGAGAGAGGGAGGTCTCCAAAGATGCCTTCCCTCTGGCATTTCCTTGCTGCAAAGAGGAGGTGCTGGTGAGTTTGGGGCAGGGGGCTAGAGATATTTTCATTTTTTCCACTTTGGCAGGGGTCCTACACTCTAACCCACATGAATGTGGAGGGCCAACCACACGTGATCCAACCCACACACAAATTTGACTTAAAGACGAATTTCTGTTTTCTCAGGAATGAAACTCATTCGCAATCCAGGGACTGCCTGTACTGTAAACAAAAAGTTAACTGCAATTTTATTATTATTATTACATTTTTATACTGCCTATAGCCAAAGCTCTCTAGGCAGTTGACAGCAATAATCATAGGATCATACACTCAAGTCACCCATCCCAATTCTGACAAGGCCTGACCCTGCTTAGCTTCCAAGATTAGGCAGGATCAGGCACTTCAGGCTACATGGAAGCTTTTTAGAAAATGACGTACAGGCAGCAATTCCAAATGACTTCCAGATGAGCGGGTACATCCCCCCAAGCCTCCATTTCATGCTTCCAGATCCACCCTCTGCAAGCTTCCCTTGCAAATTCCCTTTGAATTACTCTAAGAATACAAGATGGTACTAAGAGCACCGCAGGAAAAACAGGAATTACCAGGTTTTGTACACGTGGTGCTCCAAACATCTCCAGTGTGGACTAAAATTAGCTCAAAGGTTAGCCAAAACTATGCAGCGTATATTTAACCTGAAGCCAAGTATCTCTCAATGAACTCTAAAGGTTAAGTTTCTAAGTGGGTGGGTGAATCATCTTTTGATGTTAGCAAGCCGTCCAGAGACTTTTAGTATTGGGACGGCATATAAAAACTTTGAATGATGAAAGAATGACTATTTTGGGACTCTCAGACATTAGGTACAGTAAAAGCTGCCACATGATCACTGTTTGTGATAGCAAGTTCCCTCTTTCCTGTTTGAGCCCTTTCCAAGGAGAGACCAGATGTAACTGATGCGACCTATAAGAAGTTGTGTCCATAACAGCAGGGGAATTGGCCCTTGCGATCTCTGTGGCACTCGGTGATGCTGATGAGCTGGTTAAGGAGCCCTCTTTACAAGAGAAATACCCCACTAAAAGTCTGTTTGGATTGTAACCTTTTGCTTACTTGGACTGGGGTTTTCATTAATGGTTTTCCTTCCACACAAGACCCATTGTTTGATGCATGCTCCATAGGAATGCCTGTTTTCCAATCTGGCTAGAGAAATGGGACTTCGTATAGATTTAAATATGTTTTTAAGTCATCATAAAAAAATGTGGGGGCTGACCCAGCAGGCCTGATGTTTTTGATGACTGATGTTGTTTTTAGTTTTTCTTCGTTTTTAGAATTATAATTTCAAATAAAACTTATTATTAAAAAAAAGGAATGCCTGCCTTCCAAATGGCCATAATAAGTCGGTGCCATTCCAAATGGCCAGAGCAACGCACTGGGATGATTCCACGAGATCTAAAGGAAAAAGATGGAGTCCCCACACTGCTCACAGGTGACGACCAGGAGCCCCTCCATGGGAAAACCCCATTCTTCCGCACGGCCACAATCGGGATTGAGGAATACATGGCAACGATGCCAGCAGACCTTACAGGAAACAGTCAGAATCCCCAGATTGCTCATAGGTGACAGAGTCAGTCCCCAGCCCCCTCAAAGGAATGCTTGCAGGTCCATAATATAAAATAACAATTTATTTTGTTTAGGACTTGTATTATATTGTAAGCCGTCCAGAGACGACAGTGATGGATGGACTATTTATTTATTTATTTATTTTATTAAAACATTTCTATGCCGCCCCATTCACCGAAGCCTTGGGGCAGCTCACAACATAAAATTAAAATACAAAAAATAACAATATAAACTAAGTCGCCCTGGCCAGATAAATGCCCTAGACAAACAAACAAATAAAATATTTAGGTGCCATGCCAAACGGCCATGGGACTACGTCCAAATCATGCCAGAAGCCCCACTGGAACCATTCGGAGCACCCCGACTGCTCACAGGTGAGCACCCCAAAATGTTCATGGAGTGGCACTTTGATGCAGACTCTGCAGAAACAGCCCCTCTTGCTGCACTGTCGTAATAGTAAGTTGACATCCTGAATGGCCATCGGCATGAAGCCACCAACCCCCACAGAAGATGGGCGGCACAGGTGGGGTGGGGGCAAACACCTGTGGAATCGGCCCCTCCCAATTCTTCTCGTGTTCAGCCTGGTCCTGCAAAGCAAGCTGAGCCAAGTGGAAGCCTGCAAATGCTTGTGGACATCGGGTTCTGCATCCGGCAGCCTTTCCCATCAGGAG